TTATGTATGTCACATTGAACCGTGGTGTGTATTCTGGTGATTTGTGAAGTTGTATGTCAATATGCTTATGACTTTAATCAGAAAACTGTATTGGCAATTCCTAACTGGGAGCATTTCTTTGAACTTGGAAACAAGTGCTCTCAGTTGGGATGTGACAGTAGGTGGCAGAAGCATCTCAATGTCTACAGGGACAGTGGAATGGACCTCTTCACAGATGAGTATGGCAAGTGCCCTCATGCTGATTCCTCCAAGCAGGACTTGCAGAGGATCACCTAGCTTGGCACATCCTAACTCAGAGCATTTATTCCGTGTTGGAGAGATATAAGTACTCTCTGGGATGAGCCAGTCTGAAGAGCAAGACATCCACCACGTGGATGATTGCATATGCTTTAGATTGCGTTTCTTCCAAAATGAGCACCCTAGGTCAGAAGGATTTCTGTGTTTTATTTGATTTGTGAAGTTCTTGGTCTTTCTGGCAATAGGCAAACCCAGATTGGCCAATCCTAACTTGAAGAATTTCTTTGAAATTGCAAACAATACCGGCTCTCACTTGGTATGTGACAGTTGATGGCAGAAGCTTTGCATTGTCAAGAGAGACCTCGAAATGCAAGGACCTCTTCACAAGTGAACACAGCAAGTGCCTCATGTGGATTCCTCCAAGCAGGACTTGTGGAAGATAACCTAGCCTGGCATATCCTAACTCAGCATTTATTCTGTATGGGAGAGAAATAAGTGCTCTCAGTTAGGATGAGCCAGTCTGAGGACCAAGACATCCATTCAGAAGTTGGTTCACTGCCTCAAAAGGCATGACATGCCAAAAATCAGTAAGAGAAATATTCTCATTCAAGAATTTCTGACTCTATGTTCCCCTGGGAAATTTTCACTTTCCCTCCATACCTGATGACATTAACTGCATATTGGGAATGAATGTGCTCACATTTAGGATGAGCCAGCCTGAGGACCAAATTATATACCATATTTTTTTCTTCCCCCACAATATGCCTACCCGATTGTCTAGCTTGAGAATGAAATTCAAGTCTCAAGTCATTAAGACGTGGGGAATTTTGTGGTGAAGGAGCCAAGGGTAGTAAGTGCTGTGTTGATATGTGATATTCTATCAAGATTAATCAACTCATCATATTCAACAGTCTTGAGGATTTAGAAGATCTCTTCACAGATAAGTATGGCAAGTGAGCTCCTGTTGATTCTGTCAAGCAGTGATTTCCAGAAGACAACCTAGTCTGGCACATCCTAACTTACAGCATCTATTCTATATTAGATAGATAATACTCTCAATTAAAATGAAGCAGTATGAGGAAGAACCAGACAGATGGTTCCGTATTTTTTAGGTACAATTTCTTCCACTATGGGTGTGCCAGGTCAGAAGTGAATGTGATTTCTTTTCTCCTGATTTGGGAAGTTTCTGATTCTAGTTTTCCAAAGGATAATCTTCTTCACATAAATATGTCAACCATATGCTATTATCAAGCGGTAATTTACAGAAGACACCCTATTCTTGCACATCCTTCCTCAGAGTATTTATTTTGTATTTGAGAAAGATAAGTTTTCTTAGTTAGGATGGACTGATCTGAGGAAGCATCACCCTTTCACAAATTACTCACATTCACAATTGAAACCAATTTTTTGGTTTCTTTCCAATTTCACAGCCTCTTATGAACCAGAAGAGTTAATAATACTGTAGGCAGGTAAGTCAACTTTCTTTCCTCTGAAGGTTAGCTGGCACCACCTTGAAATATTTGCTGTTAGTAAATAAGCAGATGACCTTGATCTCCTAGCTGTAAAACAATAAATCTCTCATTCTATGGGTGTGGGTATATGAGATGCTGTTATTATTTTCTAGTATAATCTATTAGCATCCCATTTATCAAACCATTCAATCCCCAATATAGGTCTGAGGAAAAAGATTGTTCCTCCCTCACCCAATTCTCTACACTTTAGAACCTGGTTACAGTTAGGAAATGTAAAAGAAGACAATTGGTTTTTTTTTGACAATTGGGGTTAAGTGAGTTGCCTAGGGTCAAACAGCTAGTAAGTGTCAAGTGTTTGGTCTGAGGCCAGATTTGAACTCAGGTCCTCCTGATTTCAGTGCTGGTACTCTATCTGCTGTGCCATCTAGCTACCCCAAGAATCTTTCTGAAAACTTTGAGGATCCCATTTGTTAACAATACATAGATTTGCAAACTTTTTCATTCTCAAATGGACCCAATTAGATCCTGACACTTAAAACATACACTGGCCCCAACGTTATTTCTTTTTGTCTTTGCTCACTCACACTCACACACACACACACACACACACACACACACACACACACACTGCCCTTTTAAATTGCACTTGTCTTGTTTCTTGCATATTCTGATCCTATGTCAATTATCCCAAATAATCTAACTACCTCTACTGCCCCTGTGAAATGATGGGGTGATTGGACTCCAGCCCAAAGACCAGTAAGCCATGAGTGGGTCCAGTCAATTAATGTACCTCCCCCGTTACAAGAACTATCAGGTACTGGCTCCCTCCAGAAGATATACATACAAGCCAAGATATAGATCAACTCTTTTACATTTAGATTGGTTACAAACATTGTCCATGCCCAACAGTTGACTTACTGACATAGCAGATCTAAAAACACTACCCTAAAAACACAAAGCTACCCCTTAGGTATGACATCTGCACACGAGGTTCCTTAGGGAAGGAACAAGTTTTGCCACTTGTCTTGAAGATGGATTGAGTCTGAGAATTCTTTCCAATGACACCAAGATGCGCTGATATTTTCAAGGGTTCCCACACCCCAACAAAATATTCTTTATTCTAGAGGGCAATTGCTATTTCAAGGTCAATAGTCCTGAGTGTTCTCGTTTTTTGCCCAGGGCTACTGCCCATCTCTCCATCCTGACAACAAAAATGGAAGAAACATGTTTCAGCAAATGTTGATAATTCTGTCTTAATCTCAAGCCAAAATTTATTTAACACTATTTTAGGAAATTCAAGTTTTAAACTTGTGTCTCTTGGTAAATAGTATGATGTGATAAAGGAATTGTGTTAATTCCTATTAAATTTCATACCTTTCTGCTGTGAACTGTTTCTGACGCTTTAATTGCAGGTAACAAGATCTACCCTATACAGCTTTTTAGTTTTTGCAATTAAATAAGAAGTTTAATAAGATGCAAGTAAATATCTGGCAAATTGTTGGCAGTAAGAAATTTCTCAAGACAATATTTTTCCTCATTTGAGGATGCTTATTTGAAAATATTCCTTTGGGGGGCAGCTAGGTGGTATAGTGGATAGAACATTGGCCCTGTACTCAGGGGACCTGAGTTTAAATCTGGCCTCAGATATTTGACACTTACCATCTGTGTGACCCTGGGCAAGTCACTTAACTGCATTGCCTAGCAGTCCCAAAAATTAAATTATTCTTCTGGTTTGAATGCAGTAAGCTGCATTCTTGGTTTGAACATATTATTTTAATTTGGCTGTTGTCACACTCTGCAGCCAAAAACTTCATTACAAGTTAAACAAAGAGGTTTTCCCACATCATTATTAGATGTAAATCCATATTGCAAAAATATGTATTAGATATGCCTGTACATATATTTATGTACATATTTATTTAGATAGTATTTATGTCTATATTTAGCCACTAACTGAAATATTTTCATCCCAAAAAATAAATATTGCTAATAATTTCTCAAATCTAGCTTCCTAGTTTATGAAATTACATTTGTTTAAGGATAAAGTTTTTTTTAAAAAACTGATCATACTTAAATATACATACAGTGGTGATTGTGGAGAAATATTTATTCAATGGCTTTACTTGCTATAATTAAACACTTATGCTTATGTATGTCAACCTGAAAGTTGGCTAAAGAAGCAACAAGCTAGGTGATTCATATTTTTATTCCCTTAAGTTAGCAACATGTACATGGAGTCAAAGCTTTAACTCTGATCCAATCAAACAATTTTAGGAGGACAAATAAACCCTGACTCAGGATGTCTGTGTTACTCAGATTTATGGTCACCATATATGTTCAACCAGAGCACGAGAGACAATAAGATGGGAATGTCACAAGTGTCAATTGAAATTATAGATCCAGGATATCTGTGTTTCTTTATATGACATAGCATATCATATGTCCATAAAATACGAAGATAAGAAAAGTCCCATGGTTCAATATGGTATCTGGGTTGACGCGTCTTGGTGGTCAGCTTCACCTGGTCTTGTAGTTGCTGACATAGGAGTTGTGTAGTTGTGAGTTCACTCAGAGAACAAAGAAAGAATGTCTATTATGTTGGGGTGCCTGTTAGGGTTGAGTAGGTCCCGCTTTGGCACTTTATTGGAGCTTAGATGATCTTAAACTTAGTAGCTGTGTGACCCTGGTTCAGCTTATCTGTAAAATTGGTATATTGTAATAGCTTTGCCACAGGGCAAGAGGGTTGTTGCATGAATGAGATTTATTAAATATTTTGCAAATCTGAAAGCGCTTTATAGGCGCTATCAGGAGGAAAAAAGTATTTTTCATAATTACTTATAATTTGTAATATAATATTGTGTAAAAAAAATAATGGGGTTGGTGTGTCATTGACCACGCTGAATGATGGCGGTATTTGATTCCTGGACAAGAGATAGGAAAGACGAGGACACGCATGCTCAAAGGGTTGTCATGGAGACAAGCACGCCAGTAGACTGGGGTGGGAGGGGTGACGCTGAGAGCGCCCCTCCCGATTGGTGGAGACTTCTTCGGCTCCCTGTGGCCCTCCCGTTTCCCATTCCTTTTATGCCATCCCATCTTTGTTTTCAGAGATGTTTCAGGAAAATATTTTCAGAAGATTCGGTGGAGGAAAAGCAAAAACAATACCCATAGAAGACCCAATAACCAAAAACTAGAAAAAGGGAGGAGAAAGGAAGAACTCTGGGAGTCGTAGTTCCGCGCAGCGTTCCACGCAGGCGCGCTGCGCCCCAAAATGGCGAGGGGGAAGGGCAGAATGAACGCCGGACCGCCGCCGCAGGGAAGTGCGCAGGCGCCTCGCAGGTCGGGACGGATTACCAGGTACGGGGCGGCCGCGGCTGTGGTCCGAGCCCCGGGCCCGTTCAGTGACCCGCTTAGTGGGGACGCTGGAAATGGATGCAAGCTTCCCGAGTGCCTGGGGGCTCGCGGGGACATCGGGCAGTATAGACGCAGGTAAAATGCAAAGCGCTTAGATGCCAGGTGGTTTGGGAGGGAGGCAGTTAGCGGTGGGGGGAGAAGAGGGGAGAGAGGAGCACAGAGTCCGCTGAGGCTGCCCAGGTAGCGGGTTATGTTTTATCCCAGAGGCCGTAGGAGGCCGTTGGGATGCATTGAGGAAGTCACATGGTCAGACCTAAATGTAGACTAAAACACAATGAGGCGCAGAGTCTGAGTCACCTGGAGCAGGGACGGATTTGAGGCGAAGAAAGCGGTCAGGACCTCCTCAGATTAACCTGGCCGGTAGCTGTGTGATTGGGCAGCGGGTGGTGTACTCGGCAGGTGTCGAGGCAGGAGCCCCGAGACTGGGCGGCTGAGTGAAGGGGGCTGAGAGGGAACGGGGAACCCGCGGCAATATCAGTTGCAAGCTTGCGAGACTGCCCTCCCAATGTAGCCAGTCATTGGCAACGCCGAGGGCAGCTCCGGACAGTGAAAGGAGACGTTTTTCTCCTTATCTTATATTTTCCTTACATCTTTCTCATTATATATATATATACTCATCTTATTTATCTTGTCATTGAGATCTATTACAGGTTAAGGTAACACACTCAACTGTCTTGCATGGCACCATTAAATTTTTGTTTTAAACTTTAAGGTCAGAGAATCTTATTCTTTATTTCTATTAGTTCCTTCTTCTGGATTCGGACTCTGAATACGTCGTCATCTCTCATCATTGTCCTTTTCCTCACATCTCCTTTCCCAGACTGAATCCCTGAATCTTCCGTTGCATTGCATCCTCGTTGCTTGGCACATACTAAGCTCTTAAATGCTAGTTGATGGGTGACTGGCCCTAAATCTGTATTTTGTGTCGTTATTTTCTTGTCTTGTCTGTGAGGTCAGCTTGTAGAAGTCTGTTTATGCTGATTGAAGAACACTTTTGCTTTGCATTCACATTTTGCATTGTATGTGACTGCAAGGTCTGTGAAGAGGGAGAAGAAATGGGAAGGGAAAGAGGGAGAGGGCCATGGAGGCTTGACCCTACTCTCTCCTGGGCTCCTGGTGTAGAGACTGGGAGATCGAGGCTGCTGGGTTGTTTCTGCCGATTTCAATCTTCTGCCTGAGTCTGAATGAGACAGGCTTCCCAAAGTGAAGGTCCCAACTGCAGATATGAGGCACTTTTCTCCAAACCCACAGGTCATAACTCCATATAACTGCCGTGGGAAGAGACTCTTCTGTCTGGGTCTTCAGGTTTGAGGACTCACTCAATGGCTGAGCCCAGCGAAGCATTGAATTGAGTGCAGGAGCTCTGTCTTCAGTGGCTGATGGACTAAAGCAATTCCTGAACAGCTTGCCCAGGGAAATCAGGTCCCCCAATGGGAAAACTTTGAGGGAGTTGTGATCCTGGTGGAACATTCAGCCCAAATGTATGAAAAGGGAGGTAAGAATTGCAAAGGGATGGGGGAAGAGGGAAGGGAAGAAGAGATACAGAAATAACCACCTAAAGGGAAGGACCCTTGCAGAATAAATGAGTTGGAGGTCAGGTCTTGCCCAGTGTATGACAGACCACTTTGTTGGGGTGTTAACATAAGCCTGCACCGTCCTAGCATCCAGCATCCAAAGTAATATCCTTTATTATACTGTCCCATGGATAACAGTGGTAAAATATGAAGACGTTTTCTATTGGTTGCTCCTATGCAGGGAGGGATAGGGAGAGGTGCATATACTTACTTACACTTACATGTAAACACTCAGGGGACTTCCTCACCTGGCCAGAGATTTATGCCATCCCTCCTCTAAGTCACTGACTCTGGGAACTAGAGGAGCAAGTTACTTTCCCAAAGTCTCACAGATTGATAATGGCCACACTAGGAAGAGAACTTGGGTCTTTTAAGCTTTTTCTATGATGTACAAAGTCATACAAGACAGATACGAGGTTAAATGGAGATAATCTCAGATGGAAAACATGAGTATGCAGTGGTCTTGGCAATAACGGTGTACCATATTGATCTTATTTGTACGTACTGGTTTATACATTGTCACTCCTATTAGATTATGAGTTCCTTGAAAACCAGGACCTTTTCCCCCCTTTCTTCAACTCCCACTGCTCAGCAAAGTGTCTGGCCCAGTGGTAGGGAACCTGTCAAAAGGCCGAACTTAAGGATCTAGAAGGCCCCAGGTTCCCCACCCCTGGCTCTGGCCCATAGCAAATTCTTCATAAATGCTTGTTGACCTGAATTATACTTTCTTTTCTCTCTTAAGCTCTACTTTCTCAGGATTCTGCCCTTTTCCAAAATAGGATCAAAGGAGATAAAGGATTGGCTCCTTACCTCCTCACAACTAGGACCCAGGTGAGTTGGAGTTACCCTTCTTTTCCCAAATGCTATCTCATTTCTTAGTAGTTACATTCCTTTCTCTCATCTGAGATATTTTTTCTCTCCATTACAGCTCCCTTCTTGTGCTCCAATCCAGACAACTCTGACTTAATTAATTGGGGCGTATCTTGGTTCATATTTACTACTACATGGGGAATGCTTCTTATTGGCCTCATGTCATCCCTTCACATCACTCTGCTCTCCACTCGTCATTCACTTATTCAGTGACTTTGTTGGCCCGATCCATGATCAGTGCTGTGCTGGATGGTTTGAGATTTATACTGTCTGAAGAGTCTGTGCTATCCAGAAGGTTGCAGTTTCTTTGAAATTAAATGCAAACAACCTGTGCTTAGGATTTCAGAGACATTCATGTAGATGGGGAAGGATTCACAAAGAAGGCAAAATTGAGTCGATTAATTGAGAAGAAGGCAAAAGGGATTTTCATTGAGGAGGATTGCAAAAGCCCAGAGGTAGACCATGTTGCCAGGATCTGTAACAGCTGCCTGTGTCAACGTGGTGGGAAGGATTGGATGCCAGAGGCTACAGAGTTAGACGTAGATATACAGAGTTAGCACCTGGTACTGAAAGCAGGAGATTTTGATATCCTGTTCCCATGGTACTGGAGCTGCCCATAATGCAGAAGATGCCTGTAAGGGAAAGGGAAATGAAGCTGTGTCACGTCTGTTGTTGGAATTTCCCCTGCTAGTGGAAAGAGAAGGGGTGATAATTCTCAAAATGCACGACCCAGGTCCCTTTGGTATGTATTTGTCATGTGACTCTAGGCAGGTCACTTCAGCAGCTCTCAGGACCCCAGGCAACCCACCAGCTTCCATAACGAGTTTCCTACCTTCTCATGTCCCTTGGAGACCAACTTGGTCATGGTTTCATTGTAGTAGTCACTTGCTTCACTTTGTACCGGTTTATAAAAAGTTCTATGCTTAATCTTCAGTCATAGTGTCCTGTAGTGCAGGAATATTCCATTCCGTTGGTATGCCACAATTTGTGGAGTCACGCCCCTAGTGGATGGGAATGTACTTTGTTCCTAGGTCTTTGCTGCTGCAGAAAATACTTTTACTAATGCTTTGGTGCATATGGAGCCTTCATCTTTTAGTAGTGAAATCTCTGGGTCAAGGGGGTGGGGAACATTTTAGTCTTATTTCTTTGAATAATCCAGAATGCCCTCTCAGAAAGTTGGGCAAGTTCATAGCTCCATGGATAGTGCATCAGCGGTCCTGGCTTTCCACAATCTCTTCCACATCACTCTTCCCATCTTTTGTCATCTTTGCATGGTTGCTAGGTATGAGGTGACAATTCAGGGTGGTTTTGGCCTGCCTTTCTCTCTTAGCTATTGTGAAACCAGCTCATGGTTGCTAACAGTTTGCAATTCTTTTGAAATGGTTCATGAGATAGTTAGATAGAAGAAGATAGAAGGCCAGGCCTGGAGTCAGGAAGAACTGAATTCTAATCTGGTCTCAGATACTTCCTAGCTGTGGGATGTAGCAAGTCACTTAACCTCTGTCTTCCTCAGTTTCCTCATCTGTAAAGTGGGAATGTTTCCACTTACCTCCCAAAATTTTGTAAAGCATTTTGCAAAGCTAAAAGCGCTACATAAATGTTATTATTATGATATCATAAGTTCCCTATGTATCTTGGATATCAGATTCAAAGATTTTTTTCCAACCGACTAATTTTTCCCTTTATTAAAAAGAAAGATTTTATTGATAATTTTCTTTTTACATAACATGCAATTCGCACTGTATCATTTTCCCTGTGTCCTTTAAAATCTAGGCAAACTGTATCCATAGCATTCCTCTTATCTTGGTTTAGTAATCCTATCCAAAAAGGAGATGAGTTTAGTCAGAATCTGTTCTTGAAGCCGAGCTGGCTCATTGTAATCACTACTTCCTTCCCAAATGTTCACCAACCATTTCTTTAATGATATATTCTAGAATTTTCCCAGGAATCGAAGTCGTTTGTTAGTTAATAGTTTACACACTGTTCTCTTCCCTGATGTGAAAATCAGGATATTTGTCATTCTCTAAACTTGTGGTTTCTTTCCAGTTTTCTGTGATAATTCAAGTGGTATTGACAGGACAGATCCGTAGTCAAGAAGTAAGTATATAACATCTCGAACTAGATCTATATCTACACGTACATCCATGTATATACTCACGTGTACACTATAAACATATATATTTGTACACCTGCCTATATCATTGACAGTGGCTCAGCAATCCCCTGTTCTTTAAACACCTGAGCATGTAGTTCATCTGAATCAGGTGATGTGAATTCAGTTTCTCCTCAGTTCCTACGAGCTACGCTGCTTTTGGACTCCTTTGTGCCCTCAGGAACCTCATCGCTGGGAAATCTTACCGTTCTGTAAGAACTAAGCCACCCTGCCACTCCCATCTCCCCAGTATCCTCTGATTGGAGGGCAGAGCCATGAGCTTGCCCAGGACAGCCATCTCCTCATTTCCCACCAGCTACGCTGCTTTTGGACTTCTCCATCAAGCCCCATGCTGAATGCTCCCCAAATCTTTTTAGCTTCCTTTGGGGTTTTGTCTTCCCCCTATAACGTTGTCAGTTTCTGGAGGGCAGGGACTGCCTCTCTTTTTCATATTTGTATCCCCAGAGCTTAGCACGGTGCCTGACACATCATACATGCTTAATAAATGTTTATTGACTGACTGACAGTCGGTGGCTAAGATCACTCATACTGTTTCTGTACTTAGATATTAACTCCCTGGTAGTCATTTTGATTCTGGCATTTGCAATGTAAAGCTCATTTTTCTTTGTAGACAAAACAGAAACATCCTATCCTTTCTTCGAGCTTCCTTTTTCTTCCAATATAGTTTAAAAAAATAAAAACTTTTATTTAGACACCTACATATTTACATATGTATATACCTACATATGTCATTGACAGTGGCTCAGCAATTACATCTTCCAGTTCTTTGAACACTTGAGGATGTAGTTATGTGTGTGTGTGTATACACATATATAATATATATATATGTGTATATATATCATACTATATAGGTAAATTATTTTGTATGTGCACATACACATATGCAAACACAGACACATGTACATACATAGACACATCTGTATACACATAGAAATGTGTTTATGTAAATGCGTATGCACACAAAGAATGTATGTATACATGTATGCATATACACATGAATTGAAGTTGAGTGGAGAATAGATTGATGGATTACCAGAGGTGTAGCCTCCAATTAGGAGGCTATTGCAGTAAATGAGGTGAGAAGTTTTCAGAGCTGGAACAAGGGAGATGCCTGGGAGAGCAGATAGAAGGGAATGAGTGTAAGATATGTTGTGAATGTAGAATTGGCCAGACTTGACAGGTGATTGGAAGGGAAGGATTAATGGCAGGAAAGTGTTGAGCGAGGGTGGCTTCCACTTGAGTGGAAAGAGTACCACTAGGGAGTCAGGAGACCAGGTGTAAATCTTATATTTGTTACTTGTGTGACCTTGGGCAAGTTGCTTAACATCTCTTGGGCTTTGTTTTCCTCATCTGTGGAATGATGAAGCTGGATCAGAGGGCCTCTGAGATTCTTTCCAGCTTCTAGATGAATGATCCTGTGACTAATTTTGAGAACCTGAGTGACTAGAAGGATGCTGGTGCTCTTTGTAGCAATAAGGAGGTTAAGAAGAAGGGAGGGCTTGGGGATGGAAAGAGGATGAGTTCTTGAGGTAAGCAGACCTGGGAGAATAAGCATGTGGTGACCATAATACCGTTAAGAAAAATAGCTTTGAAAGACATAAGTGTGATAACCAGTGTGCTGCCCAAATCCTTTCTGAGAGGTGAGGGACAAGAGGAGCTGAATGAAACACACGTTTTTAAATGGCCAAAATAGGAACTGATTTTGTGAGACCATTGTAATTTCTTACAAGAGGCAGCTAAAAAAAATGGGGGGTGAGAGAGATGAAGGTGGGGGAAAGTTGTGATAACCATGGAAAAAGTAGGGGGGAAAAAGAGCAACAATGAAGTTCTGTAAAACTTGGACTCAGTCAAAAGGCCGAGTTTCTAGAAAGCCACATGTGGCCTGGAGGCCTTAGGTTCCTCACCCCTGCTGTAGAACAAGGTGGCTTTAACACAGTGGGTATTCAGGTATTTAAATGGAATGCTCAGAATCTTGACCACCTTTAACCAGTCTCTTTAAGCCCTGCCAACTTCTTCCACCTTCTCCCAGGTCCACGAGAGGCTTGGTCTTCAGAGGCACATGAATGTGTTTGCTGTTTCAGGAATCTGTGACATTCAAGGATGTGGCCGTGGACTTCACCAGGAAGGAATGGGAGCAGTTGACGCCTGCGCAGAGGTACCTCTACAGGGATGTGATGCTGGAGAACTATAGGAACCTGGTGTCTCTGGGTGAGAACATTCCCTTCGCCACTCAGGATTTGTTCATTGCTTGGAAGTGGCTCTGAGGCAGGGGTTCTTACTTTTTGTGTCGTGGCCCTCTTTGGCAGTCTGCTGAGGAGCTTATAAACCCCTTCTCAGAATTATGTTTTCAAATGCAAAAAAGTACAGGGGATTAAGAGGAAATTAATTATTGAAATAGTTAAAAAACCAATTTCCTGAACCTAGGTTAAAAACCCCCGCTGACGTATCTAACTGAATTTTGGCTTGATCTGAGGGATTTATAGCTTCTTAAACTGTTATATGCAAAGTGTTTCTGCTCCTTATACTGAGGAGAAAGTTGTTTTTTTGTAGTCAATGGAAATTGGCAGCTTTAAGGAGCTGCTTCAGAGGCTGTACCTTTGTCATCCTCTGATCCCCAGGGTTAGGAATTCTCCCCCAAAGCTCCAGTGCAGAGACCTGAAGACAGTGAAGATTCCCATCTTCTTAGCAGGATGTGGAGTCAAATGGACTAATTTTTCTAGAACTCTCTAAATGAGGTCTATGCCTGCCCTTCTTCTCTGACTGCCAAAGAGGCTTCTGGTCCTAGAGCACACAGCTTCCTTAAGGATCTCTGTGTCACTCTTTGAGCTTCCCTAGCATGCCTCCTTTCTCCTAATAAGGAACAGCTTAGACTAAAGTGTAAGGTGGATACTTTTTCCCAACCTCTTCTTCATTTTTAAAAAAACCCACGAGCAGGGCTTCCTGTGTCCAAGCCAGAGGTGATTTCCCAGTTGGAGCAAGGAGAGGTACCATGGTTAGCAGAGGAAGAAGTACCGAGAAGCACGTATTCAGGTAAGCAAATGAGAACACAGGTAGGTGGAAATCACTTGCAGGCAGCAGCTCTGATCCCAGATCTGTGAAATGTTAGGCAAGGAGTTTTACTCAGTCATCCAGACCTGGAGAGAGGACTTCAGACTTTGAGTCTGAGAGAAAGACGTAGGTTTTTCTCTCAAACACACACCTTTCTACCTGTATTCCAGATCTCATCCTTTTTCATTCCCTTGGGACATTATTCCCATGATTATTTCCGCCTTCTCTAGCATCTTCATTTCCTTCTACTTACAGATATGTATTAGCTGCTGCATGTTGTTACCAACATGCAGCAGCTACCCTTTTGCTGCCTTCTGATTTCTCCTAATTCTGTTATTCTAAATGGAGTCTAATGTCTTGAAATACATATATAAATAATACAAACTAGTATATAATGAGCAAAAAGAAGTCCAGATAAATGCCCTGAAAGAGTGGAGGTTGGGTAGATCAAGATAGCCTTCATGAAGGAAGTAGTACCTGAGCTGGGCCTTGGAGAAAGGCAGGGATTTCAGTAGGTGAGAGGAAGCCTTTCGAGGCATAGAGAAGAGCATCTAGAGAGGCACAGAGGTGAAAGAGGACAGAACAAAAGCAGGAATCGACAAACTATTTTGACCAGAACATGGCCTATGGAAAAGGAGTATTGTTTGAGGAAATGGGGAAGGCAAAGCTGGCTGGGTCTGTGACTGAAGGTCCGTGGGGAGTAATCCAGCTGTAGTGCCTGGGCTGGCCAGGTTCTGTGAGTGAGGTGGAGGAGCAGGCAGTGGGCCAGTTCAGAGGATGGGATCAGAAATCAAGTGGTAAGAAGTAGACCAGAGTCATGTCCAGGGTCCTGAAGTCCAAGATGATAATGGAATCACATTGGGATCCCACGAGTAAAAGCAAACAAGTATGGTCTGTGGTTAGGCAAAGTTCAAGAAACCCATTGTCAAGTGGTTTATCTACTAGTTTGATTTGGTGAGCTCTGACTGTACCCACATCTTTTAACCTGACCATTTGGGTCCTATTCTTCTCCCCTTACATGGCATCATGTCCATCCTCTTCCCCCCCCCCCCAAACACATACACTTTTATCCAGCTTTAGGAAGGAGGGACTAGTTAGGACTGATTTTGCAGGAGTCAAGGAGCAAACACTTGAGGATGACAACGAGGCCACATCTGCTGACTTGGGAGAGATGACTTCAGTCTCCCTGGTGGGGTCAGAATCCCGATGGCAGCGCTTGAGTAGTGATTTGGTGATGAAGATGTGACGGCAGAAGGCTCTTTCCACACCAGTTAGGGAGGAAATAAAGAAGGCAATAGCTCAAGACGGTAGCATTTTCAAAGGATTTTTGAATGGGAGAAATTTGCAGTTTTGTAGACACAGATGAGATTCAGTAGCAAAGGGCATGTTAAAGATACAGGAGAGGCTGATATGTATCATGGTAAAATGACCCCACCTTAAAAGTTTGTGATATAGATAAGATAAATAAAGCGAAATAAATAAAAATAAACATCTTTGCCAAGAAAACCCCAAATGGGGTCATGAAGAATTGGACACAACTGAGCAACAACAACAGAAGCATGGGAACTGAGGAAGAGAAAACAATTAAAGAAGCATGAACATGAAGGCAGCAGGAGGGCTGGCTGTGACCACCAATTTTACACTGAATTAGGGGTTAGTTTGTTTTTTTTCCCCATATAGGGATATTTTATATGCTGTATGCAGAAAAAAATTCTAAGCCCAAGGCAGTAGCCTTCACATTTTGAACAATATTCAATTCTAATAAAATGATCGGTTTGGACATTCATTTGAATTATGTTGAAAAAAGATTTGACCTGTACACATATATGCAAATATGTATATTTCAATGAATATTTTAATACAGTATTTTAACAAGGTATCGACAGTCAAGAAAACAATATATTATGTCTATTTGGACTTCTTTATTCCTGTCTTATTTAAAGAAAATGGTCATATTGTTCAAATAGAAGTTAGTTTAAATATGAACATTCATACCAGGCGAGGAAAGATACGAAGCCACTCTGTATTTGCCTCCTCAGTGAATATGACCAGTGAAGTGATCTAGTTAGCTTCCTAGCAAGTGATCTTACAATCTGCAACTCACAGTTCTGGGGCCTGATATGCAGAACTTATAATCACTTCCCCTGTGGAATCATATCAAATTGATTGGTGTTGATTGGAATAGAGTAGGTGTCCGAATGAATTATTTCTCACAATGAGAGGGTGTGGGGGTGTGGTTGGAGGTTTAAGGTTAGAGAAGAAAGTTTTTGAACAGTTAATATGAGGACTGATTAGGAAGCCATTAAGACATCCTCTGATAGACTCCTGCAAAGACAGTGAAGGGCTGGAGAGGTAAGAGAATATACATTTGTAGTTGAGTCATTCTGCCTGGTATTTTCATGACCTTCAGGGTTCTGTGGCTTCAGAGCAGAAGTGGCAAAGGCAACTAATAGGGGTTTTGCAGCTTTAGCGATCGGCATAGTTGGCATGGGGCAAAGTTAAGGGATTCAAGGGAGAAAAGAATGCGTTTTTGCAACAACTGATCATAGGGTCAAGACTTCCAGGAGGGAAGTTAAGCCAGAACAAGAATGATGGACCTCAAGACTAGGGGAAAGATCCAGGCAGTGGAGGTGAGAATGGAGGCAAAGAATAAGCTGAGGAGGGAGGGAAGGGTCCAGAGGCTGTGGTCAAGAAAAGGAAGCTCATAGTTTACTTGGCAGAAATGGAGGAATTTCAAATGATGTTAAGAGATACCACCTTGGGGCAGCTAGGTGGCGCAGTGGATAGAGCACCGGCCCTGAAGTCAGGAGAACCTGAGTTTAAATGTGGCCTCAGACCAAACACTTGACACATACTAGCTGTGTGACCCTGGGCAAGTCACTTAACCCCAATTACCTTTAAAAAAAAAGAGAGAGATACCACTTTGCAGTTCCCTAGGTATGATGTTTTCTAATCTCTTGTCTGGATTTAAAGTTCAAATATAATTTGCCATTATATATATACACCCCTGCAAACTTTTTATTTTTGAAAACGCACTCCCTCTCTCGCCTAAGCTAACCTTTTCGATGTCTTTCATATATCAAACAGTATTCTTGTAAATGTGGATGATACTTGATTCACCTATCTCACTAGGTTTTTGTGAGGAAAGCACTTTGTACAATTAATATATCACTATAAATAGGAATTAATGTTATTTTCAATTTGAGTGAGAAGATATCTCAAAAAAAAATGAAGTTGGGCTTTTACCCTACGGATAACCTCATAATCCTTAGAAATATATTAATGGTGGTAATGATTTACTTATGTAGCAGTTGCCTTTCTCCTACCAAAGAGAACAGGGAACATTTCTATTTTAATTTTTCCTCCCAGATTGGGAAACTAGGCCTGAGACCAAGAACTCAGTTGCAAAGCAAGGTACTTCGGTGAAAGAATCATCCCAGGAAAGGCTTGCAGGTTGTGGCTTATGGGACTCAAATTTGGGACAGCCCTGGGAATGTGATGGCAGATTCCAGAGGCAACAGGGGAGCCAAGAAAGAAGTTTGGCGCAAATAACTCAAAAGAACATGTCTAATGAAATAAGAATCCATGAATGTGATATATTTGAGAGAAGTTTTCAACTTAAGTCAAGTATTGTTACAGAGAGAAACATTTCTCCAGGAGAGAGCCCCCATAAATATGATGCACATGGAAATACCTTCAAACAGTATTCAGAAGCAAGTAAAAATAATAGAGTCTTCTCAGGAAAGAAACTTTGTAAGCATAATGTTCGCAAGAAAGAATTTCAGTGTCCCTCAACTATATGTAATAAAATAACTACTGGAGAGAAAACATACAAATATAATAAATTTGGGGTAGCATTCAGACAAAAGAAATTCATAAATTATCAAGAAATTTATACTGGAGAGAAACGCTATAAATGCAATGAATGTGGGAAAGATTTTACTAGAAGTTCATCTCTTACTCTGCATCAGAGAGTTCATACTGGAGAGAAACCTTATGCATGTAATGAATGTGGCAAAGCTTTCAGTCATGGCTCTTCCCTTACTAAACATCAGAGAATCCATACAGGAGAGAAACCCTATAAATGTGGTGACTGTGGAAGATCTTTCAGTGACAGTTCATCTCTTGCTCAACATCAGAGAATTCACACTGGAGAGAAACCATATAAATGTCATGAATGTGGTGCAGCCTTCATACGGAGTTCATCTCTTTGTCAACACCAGAGAACTCATACTGGAGAGAAACCCTTTAGATGTAACGAATGTGGCAAAACCTTCAGGCAGAATACATTTCTGGCTGTACATCAGAGGATGCATACTGGTGAGAAACCATATGAATGCAGTGAATGTGGTAAAGCCTTTGGTGACAGCTCTTCTTTTACTAAGCATCAGAGAATTCATACTGGTGAAAAGCCCTATAAATGTGGTGACTGTGGAAGATCTTTCAGTGACAGTTCGTCTCTTGCTCAACATCAGAGAATTCATACTGGAGAGAAACCCTATAAATGTAATGATTGTGGTGCAGCCTTCACACACAGTTCATCCCTTTCTCACCATCAGAGAATTCATACTGGAGAGAAACCCTTTAAATGTAATGAATGTGGCAAGGCCTTCCGGCAGAATGCATTTCTGGTTCTACATCAGAGAATGCATACTGGTGAGAAGCCGTATGAGTGCAGTGAATGTGGCAAAGCTTTTAGTGATGGCTCTTCTTTTACTAAGCATCAGAGGATTCATACAGGAGAGAAGCCCTATAAATGTAGCGACTGTAGAAAATCTTTCAGTGACAGTTCATCTTTTACTCGACATCAGAGAATTCATACTGGAGAAAAACCTTACAGATGTAATGATTGTGGAAAATATTTTAGTGACAGTTCTTCTCTTTCTCATCATCGGAGAATTCATACTGGAGAGAAACCCTTTAAGTGTAATGAATGTGACAAAGCCTTCAGGCAGAATGCATTTTTAGTTCTACACCAGAGAATTCATACAGGTGAGAAACCCTATCAATGTAGTGGATGTGACAAAGCTTTTAGTAGCAGCTCTTCCCTTACAAAGCATCAGAGAATTCATACAGGACAAAAGTCCTATAAATTTACTGATTGTGGAAAATCCTTCAGTGATGATTTATTCTCTCAGCATTAGAAGAGTCCCTTGTTATAGTGGACAGAAACATTATAAATGTAATGAATGTGGAAAAAACTTCACAAACAGTTCTTCCCTTTCTCATCATCAAAGAATTCATAGTCAAAATAAACCTTAAGTGTAATTAAAGTAGCAGTCTATGGTTCTACTCAGATCTATACTGGGGAAATGCCTCGAACACATACATATAATGAATATGTCAAAGTCTTTAGCGAAAAGCAACAGCTTAGTGAGCATCAGAGAGTTCATAGTGTAAAGAAATCCTACTAATGTAGGGATGCTAGGAACACTTTCAGGCAAAATCATCCCATTGTTATCAGATTATTAATTCTGAACAGACAATAGAAATGTAGTGGAAGTAGGGAGGCCTTCAGCATCTCATTCTGTATCAGGAAAATCATAATGGAGAAAAACATCGTAAATGGAATAAGCCTCCAAAAAGTTCAAATTTAGTTCCTTATACATCAGTGATTTTACTTGAGAGAATGATTCTGGGTATAGATGATATACAGAAAGCTTCAAGCCAACTTGTCACTTAGCTTGAGAGAAGAAAAATATTTCCTGTTTATTTTTCTCCTCTTTGCTGTTCACATAAACTCCCATTAGTAGAGCTAGTTTTATATGAGGTTCAGGTGTGGCATCTGAAAGAATAAGTTCTCAGTAGAACTTTTGTGTTGGAACCATTAAATTTAGAAGTGATTTTAAAGTGAAGAAATAAAAAGTTCAGATGAAATATTAAAGATAGTTTCCCCTAAGGTAAGGCAGAACACTCCTGCACACACATTCTGTTTAATGTGCATAAGCTGGTTCTTCTGGGACCCTCTACATAAAATGTGCTTTCGTTGTGACCTGGAGAAGGTATAATGGATCTGACAAAGCATGGCAATAAAAGGAGTCAAATATGGTTCTCTCAGAGTAGGCAAGATTTGAGTAATGTGGAAAGTAATTTTGGAACTAGAGAAACTGACTTGTCTGGAGATGATAATAGTTTTGATAGGGGGACCTGCTAAGACTTCAGTGTTACTCTGCTGCAAAATTACATCGTACTCCTTCTTTGTCCACGTCTCTAATTGTCAAGGAAATTTCTAGGAAGTGTTGGAGATGGGGTATGTGTGGAGGGGGGTGGTATTTATAGTAGGAATGGCATCATTGGGTGCCCATTCCAGAAACATCCTCAGAGAAAGGCTGGAAAACTCCAATGAATAACAACAAAATTAAATTAAACCTGAAAATGAACTTAGCAAAAACTAAGATAGTGTTTGGTGCTGCCAAAAAGTTGTAACCGCAAAACAAGACCACAAAAGATGTTCCATAGTAAATAAAGTGAAGTGGGGGGGGGGAGGGAGTAAATGAGATAGACTGAGGGAAAAATAAGAATAAATATCTACCATAGGAAGAAAAGGAATTAAGTCACATGCTCCACAAAAAGGGAGCAAGAAGAGATAAGTCATGTAATTAGCACATACAATGGGTGAACTAAAAACATCACTGAAGGCAGCAAAGAATAGGGAGTTAGCAACTGTGATGACAAAATGAAAACACTAGAATTTTTAAGTGAAAAAAGATAGTGTTGGAAATAAATGTAACCAATCTTGAAAATGAATTGGGGTTTTCCAACCTACCAAAAATAGGCATTTCAGAAGGAATGCAATCTGAAGATTATGTTGAAAATTCTCCATAGCTGACAAGAAAAGGTTTAAATCTTTAAACAGAAAGAAGCCGCAGAATAACCTGTATGAAAGTCATAAAGCACAAAGTCAGAGGCGTATAATTTTCTAACTCCTAAAGCTTAGAGTTAAAGTTCTTGAAACAGCAAAAAATGAAACAGGATTGACTTACTGAAGAATCCAAAAATCATCTGATTGTACACCAGAACTAATGAAGAGTGTAACATGTATTAAGTACTGAAAGGCATGGGTGTGAATCTAGTAATCAGTTTGTTCCAACTTAAGCATAAAAATTGCCTCTGAATTGAGGCTGCCAATGGAAATAAAGGAAGACCTTGACCTAGGAAACTTTGAAATAAGCTCCAGAGAGTGGAATCTATAAGAACTTAACTTGGTGTCTGCCATGCTAAAATATACAAGCTGTTTGTCTCCACAGTCACAAACAGTTGACAAAAGTTACTTTAAAACAATTCAAATATTGGCAGGCCGGGTGAAAAAAGGTTTCTGCTGTTCATAGAATTTGTGCAATCTGGCAATAGACAAGGATTGTAAAAGTGGTCATGGTCTGACTAGGTAATAATTCTGTTACTAAAATATGTCCTCAGGAAAAGGAAAACTATACAAAGTTGTTTTTAGAAGTCTTATATGTAGCATTAACAACAACAACACACACAAAACCATGAATCTGGAAACAATGTTAGGATTGTAGAGTATAGATTGTAGAGTGAATTACTGAAAGTTGTTTCTAATTGTTTATTCTTTTCATGGTGAAATTAATCACAAAATGAGAATGAGGGGGAAGGAGAAAAATTGGCAGCATAGAGACTCAGTTCCTTAAACTCCTTAGTCACTCTAGAGGGGAGCAACTTCTTTGGAGAAGGGGCCTGATATATTTTTCAACAGTAGCACAAACTAGTGACCAGTTGCCACTCTCAGGTGGGTAAGCTCAAGAGGCCTAGGAATAGCAGCATGCTGCAGACCCTGGCCCTGCTTCTAGACCAGTCCTTACAACCATTGTCCATTATAACAGCACCTGTGGAAAAGGGGCCAGTGATCTCCACCAACTGCTGCCTATAGGGCAGGTAAGCCAACTCAGCTAAAGCAGCAAAGCACCTTGATGGAGAGTCAGGTAATAACACGTGCCAGGTGAGTCAGACCACCACCACCACCCTCACCTTCACTCAGACCTCAGTGGAGGTCACTCAGAATACTGAGCCCAAGAGCCCTGGGAATAGCAGTGCCACCCAGTCCACCAGCCATGTTTTTAGCCCAGCCATTGTAGGTATTATGCAGGATAGCAATCTTTGTGGAGATGCTACCTGGCATTGCAACTGTGACTACAGCTACTGAAGCCCTCAGAAAAACAGGTTCCCACCACCAAAGCCCTTGGCACTGTCAGGTGGTTTAAGATCAGAAATGAATATGGTTTTATCAGTGGGAATGACATTAAAGAAGATGCATTACCATCTTTTTTGGTGCTGTACCATACATGGGATGTTTCTATATGACTTGCTGCTAAAATCTCTGATATATTGTCTTCCCCATTAGAATGTAAATTTCTGAGATCAGAGGCTCTTCGCACTTCTCTGTTTGTATCCCTAGCACGTAGCACAGGTCTTTACACATAAGTGCTTTTTACTCATTCATTCTCTTCGTTCAGACATGTTTTGGTCGTTGGACCATGTAGTCTATTAAAGGTTCTATTATGGTCCATAAAGTCCATGGAAAATGTCTCCCTTTGCCATTCAGTTTGCTATAGTATCATTTATTCTCCCAGAATTTACTTAAACTTTCAAAATACATTTGAAAAAGTTAGGCCTAAAATAAAAAAAAATTGGGGCAGTTAGGTGGCACAATGGATAGAGCACCGGCCCTGAAGTCAGGAGGAACTGAGTTCAAATGTGACCTCAGACCAAACACTTGACACTTAACTATGTGATCCTGGGCAAGTCACTTAACCCCAACTACCTAAAAATTAAAAAAAAAAAGAAAAAGGCTGCTTTTCTGGGATTTGAGGATAATAATACATTTCTTAGTTCTTTGTAGTAGTAAGTGTGAACATAGACATCTCCAGTCTTTCTTGAAGGCTACTTTTCTTCACACTGTTCAAAAAGTATGAAGAAATAGGATTTTATTCCAGTGGGATAGAAGCAACCTGAGGGCAAAGACTCATTTTTCTCTTTGTGTCTCTAGTATCTAATTCAGTGCCTTACACAGGATACCTAATAAATATTTGTTAGATTTGTTCATTGAATTTTGTGACTTTGGATAAAGGCAAATTAAATCGTTAAAGAATAAGGCGAGAAACTCTAGAGTTGGAAAATATTTTTTATCAGTATCACCAACAAAAGGGCAGTGTTGGTTGGTTTTTCTTCATTCTTGAAGAGAACGCTATATTAGTGTCAAGTCACAGTGTGTTCAGCTGTGGCTGAGCAGACCCATATGAGCTTGGAATGCTGCACTGCAGGTTGGGCACAAATAGTCCATGTGAACGTTTGGGGTGGATTCTCCAAATCTGAGTATCTCGTGTTTCTTTTGCGCTGCTTCAATTCTGGTTTGCTCATAAAGCACAGCGCCTTCTCTGATGGGGGCATGCTGTGCTGGGTGGTCCTGTGCCAGCGTCTCTGTCACACAATAAATTCCAGAGTTCTTCAGAAAGACCTTGAGAGTGTCCTTGTATTGCTCCTTCTGACAACCATGTGAGCACTTGCCTTGTGTGAGTTCTCCATAAGATTGTCTTTTAGGCAAGTGTGTTTTTGACGTTCAAACAATGTAGCCAGCCCATAAGTGTTGCACTCTCTGCAGTAGAGTTTGAATGCTTGGCAGTTTAGTTTGAGAGGAGACCTCAGTGTCTGGTATTTAATCCTGCCAGGTGATCTTCAGAAGCTTCCTAAGACTATTCAAATGGAAGCAACTCAGTTTCCTGGCTTGGTGCTGGTCCAGGTTTCACAGGCATACAGCAATGAGGTCAGCACAGCAGCTCCGAAGTAGACCTTCAGTTTTGTAGTCAGTCTAATATCTCTCTTCTCTCCCACATTTTCCTTTGGAGCCTCCCAAACACTGAGCTAGCTCTGGCAGTATCTGTGTCAACCTCATTATCAGTGTGTACATCCCTGGAAAGTTTACTGCCAAGGTAAGTGAACTTATCCACAGTATTCAAAACTTCTGATGGTTCCACATATGAATGGTGTAGTGCTGGCTGATGGACCACCTGTGTTTTCATGGTGTTAATTGTTAGGTCAAAATTAGCACAAGCAGCAGATAAATGATCTCAATTTCAGAGACTGTGTTGAGTGCACAATCTGCAAACAAAAAATGCACCAATACCCCCTCCACTTTATACTTGGCTTGTAGCCTTTTCAAGTTGAAGAATTTGCCATCAGTGTCATACCCTGTTGCTGTGTTTGTCCTCATTGAAGGCATTTGACGCCACAGCTGAAAACATAGTAAAAAGCATGGGAGCAAGCACACAGCCTTGTTTCACTCCATTAGTGACTGGGAAAGTATGAGCGCATTCGTTATCCAGAACCCAGGCAAGCATGCCTTTGCAAAATTGACTTCTAATACTGATGGACTTCTCTGGGCAACCAAATTTGGACCTAAATTTTTGATAAGCCCTTGCAACTGACATTTTAAAGACCGTGGTCAGATCTACAAATGTGTATACATTTCTGCTCCTGGCATTTCTCTTTGAGTTGTCAGGAAGCAAATACCGTATCGACCACTCCTCGACCATCTTCCAGGTGAAGGATCAGCCTATTAAGGAAGCCTGTGGCAAGAATCTTGCTAACAATGACTAAGAGAGAGACCTCCATGTGATTGTCACAGGACAATCTATTTCCTTTACCTTTATAGAGTTTGACAACGGAGGCGTCTTTGAACCCCTAGGGAACAACCTCTGGTCACATAACCTGGAAAATTTTAGTCAGCTTTTGTATGAACAGTGGACCTGACCCCCACACTCATAAATCTCAAATGGAATAGAATCAGAACCAGATGCTTTGCCACATGAAAGGAGCCTAATGACATTCAAAACCTCTTCTTCAGTTGGAACTTCAGCCAGGGAGGGATTGACTTCACCCTGAGATAAATGGTCAGTAACTTCAGCATTGATTGCTGATGGTCTGTTGAGAACACTGGAAGTGTTCAGACCATTTCTCTAGGATCGTGTCCTTATCACTAATCAATGTGGCTCCATCAGCACTGAGCAGTTGAGATGTACCATAGGTCTTTGGCCCATAAATAGCCTTCAGGGCCATCATAAAAGTGCTTTGGGTTCTTACTATCAGCATAAAACTGAATTTCATCTGCCTTCTTACTGAGCCAAGAATCCTGCATCTCTCTAAGCTTCACTTGTTCTTTACTTTTGATAAAATTAAATACTGCCTTCTTAAAGATGGATGAACCACCCTGCTGGTAAACCCTGTGGAGGTCTCATTTTTCATTTAGCAGCTTCTGAATTTCCCCATCATTTTTGTCAAACCAGCTTTAATGTTTCCAAGTGTTCTGACCCAAATGAGCAAATGCAGTGCTGCACATCAAATTTCTAAAAGCTGCCCACTTTTCTGCTCCACTCTTGCCAACTGAGTGTTGGCTCAACTTTCCTTCCAAGTTAGCAATGAACTGTTCCCACTCAGAGAAATGCTGTAATCTGTTGACATTAATTCTTCTGGTAGTCATTTTGCCTTGGAGCTGCTGCTTTTGTTGAATGTGAGTATTCAGCTTGGAGAGGATGTCTATGATTAGTCCAGCATTCTGCACTCACATTGTCTTTGTTACTCTCACATCCTGTCCGTCTCTTCTCCTTATACTCATATAGTCTATTAAATGCCAATGTTTTCTGTGAGGGTGCATCCATGAAGTTTTATTGCATTTAGGTAAACAGAAGACAGTATTGATGATGAGAAGGTCATGAGATGTACAAGTCTTCAGTAGTAAGTGACTGTTGCTGTTGCTGTTTCCAACTCTATTCCTTCCTAGAACTCCCTGCCAAGTCTGGTAGTCTGATCCTACTCTAGCATTAAAGTCTCCCAAAATTGCAAACTTATCCTCTTTTGGCATATTGATGATAAGGGTCTCCAGGTATTCATAAAATTTTTCTTTGACCTCATTAGGGCTTGTCGTGATAGGAACATAGGCACTGATGATGGTGTCATGCATTTTCCTATAAGTGGCAATTACATTGTCACAAGAATGTCATTCAGTCCTTTTGGTAAGCATACAAGCTTGTTTGACTAGATTGCTTTTTATTGCAAACCCTACACCAACTTCATGGCATTCCCTTCACTGTGGCCACTTTAAAAAAATGTGTATCCAGCTCCAACTTCAGTAACCTGGCCTTCATTTACCAGCCTTATTTCATTCAGGGCTGCTATTTGGATGGACATGTGCTGAATTGTCTTGCAACAAGAGCTGTTATTTATTTCAGTTCTACTGGATTTTGTGTTGTCTGTAAGTATGTACACATTCCATGTTGATTGTGAATGGAATCATCTTTGCAGAAGCTTTTGTACATTTTTTTTAATGTGTTTTGACTGCAGGGTGGGATCCCCACCTGCTGCAGGAATCAGGCCGGGGGTGGGGAAGCAGATAATTTTAGGGCACCTTTTCTAGCTCCTTCCTCACACCAGGAGGTGAGCAGTGTGGTCCTTAAAAGGCTGCTCAGATACCTAGGGGGCTGCTGAATCCCACTGCTGCTTCAAGTGAGAAGATGACCTTATGGCCTGGGCGGCCTGTGTGCAGGGTTGTGACTATAGCTCTCAGTGTATCCGCACTTGTTGCTTTGATGTTCGCCTATTGCCACAGGACTTTGAAATAGGTAAAAATGGTAAGATGGTGTGGGTAAAGTCTTTTGATTCATGTGCTAATTGGATTTAAGTGAGGCAGAGTTGCATGTAGTCATCAGCCTCTCTCTTCCAGAGTCATCACTGTCCAGTGGCAGGACAGAGTCAAGGTGACTGGTGATGTCCTGAGATGCAGCAGATGGCCTTGGCATCTTTGATGTCTAACCAAGCACTAAGCACGTCACAGCAGCTGCATTAGCTCCCTTCATGGCCTTTGGAACAAATTGTTCTCATTCATCCATTCCACCAGGGGAAGCCTTCACGTGCTTGGGGGAGAAACCTCCCTCATTTACTGATGCATTTGAGACCCCTCAGTTACCCTCAACCTGGTTTAGTTACCAAAATATGTATTTTTAAAAAAAATTCCTTGGTGCCATTAAAGATCCCTTGACTTAGGGTATCTAAATGAATGTCACATATTTCTGATACTGCAAATGTCCTTAGGACTCCAGGAAACTCATCTTCTCTTCCATTCTGTGCTTTGTCTTTTATCCCCATCTCTTGTGGTTTTTATTGTTTAAAAAGGACAGGATGTTTGTCACATCCGCAAAAGCATGATTGGTTATTTCTCATATAGTAGCATAAAGAGACTTTCAGTATCTTCCTAATGTGTTTATTTTTTTTCCTTCTTAGTATCCTTTTTAAAATTACGTATTGTTCTAGATCAGAGACAGAGAAACAGCTTCATTAAGGGAACACGTTCTCTATATCATTATATCATGCCATGTGTAATTGAACTGAGCAGTGTTTCTTTAAAAAGATAGACAACTTCCCAAACCCACAAATTGAGAGGTTTTTGGACATTCAACATATTATTACATCTTATTATTGTGGGCCTCATGTGTTTCTTTAAAGTTCACGGTAGTTTATTAAACAAATAAAATTTACAAGTTACCACCTACCACTGTATCTCAGGAAGTTTACTTCATCAGTGAGAAGTCATGGTTTTATTTCATGGATTGTGCTTTGTTTTGGGGGGGGGGGTTGGCTAGGCAATGGGG